CCAACAATTTAACAATGGGTGTGCAAGCGTTAAAATTCTCCTCCCCGTTGCCATCAGTAAGCAACATGACCGCTCAATCGACCCCGCTCTAACAAATAAACATGTTATAGCCTGACGACCGCACACACCCAGCATAATGACGTAGACAATACGACCGTTTTCGCCCTTAAACCAGGGTGCAGTAAGGTTTTCGACATTGAAGGGACGCACGGATTAACACGCATGTTTAATAAATAGCCAGATTTGGCAGCTGCGTTCGAGTACCATTGGGGCTTTATTCGCAAACCAACCCACCAAATCGAACAGAGTCGTAACGTTTAAAGGATAGTGAATGTTAGAAAATCTTTGGTCGACTGTTTCGATTGTTGTGACACAATGGCCCAAACAAATTGTAATAATATCGATGCGCTTTTGCGGCTTGTATAAATACACTAACAATGGCTGGCCCCTGATTAGGTCTTTATTTGTAGAGATCTGTTCGATTTTTAGAACTTTCGCAGCTATTTTTAAATTCTTTCGGAAAGCATTTCATACAATTAACTATATTAATCTATTTTTTTATATTTGAGATTGATAATTTCTCCTATATCAGCTCGCACCCTCCTAAAGTGACGTGTACTATGTTTGAAATGCAGGGTCGAAAGCCAAAAGACGACCTAATTTAACCGTTACACCGCCACAACACAATGCGCGCCTTAAATATGATTTATAGAATATTTTATTTCTGTCGAACAACTTATTCCCCCCCCAAATATCCGTAAATACATATAGGGTGTTACAGTTTTGGTTCACAATGCTTAGTTACCTATGTGAAATATAGGGATCGCTTTTTGTTACCTCCAATTTTTTTAGTGTATTTACCACAATACAACGTTAATTTTTTGTATGACAAATATCAATTTCTTCAACAATATCTAAAATAAATATTGGATTAAAACGTTAAAATTCATCACCCTTTTTGTTTGGACAACTGCAAAATAAAAAAGTTTATCCCTTACCCTGGTACCCTGGTACCAATATTAATTTCATAAATATTTCGCTTTAGTCCAACCCTCTTTTATGATACAATAAACATTATGGCGTACTGATTCTACGCATGGCCTTCCCATGGTGCGAAGACATACAAGCTACAATTTCTTCTTCCGACCCCTGACGAGTTTGTAAAAAGGGGTGGTTCTCACATAATGGGCGACACGTAGATAGACACATGGCCGCGACAAAAACCGCCTTGAATTATTCATAGACGATTAGTAAACTCGTAATATCTTATTTATCTTTACGTATTTCGATTGAGATTAAACAACAGCCTTTTCTTGTATTTTTCAAAATGAGATGTGTCACACGTGTCAGCTTTCGGTAAGATCTCATTTTCGGGGGTGTTTTTAAAAATGGTATTTGACCGAACTTAATCCTCAGAAAACCAGCTTTATTTTCGTAAAGAGAGTATTTGTGAAAGGACCGGCTATGTTGGTGGCATCTTGTCTTCTAAATGGAAAGGATTTAGTAAATGCTCCATAGATAATGAGGGGATGTTTACCTAGGGTTAATTAAGAAAATACTACTTTTGGGTACCTGAGATTGGTTTCTTTAAAAAAATGTTTCAAAAAAAAAAGTTGCAATAATGAAGATATTTCAAAACGTTTAGCTGGATGGTTGCGGTAAAATATCAAAGGTGAAGAAGTTATAAATGGAGCTGTTTGGTTCTCTTTTTCTTCACTCCGCGTCTCGCTCTCTCGGATGACATTCGGAATTTGTTTCGGGGATTATATTAGCCTGCGAAGCAAAAAAGAAGGACTATACAAAAGGATAGTTTAAGTAGAAAACTAAAAAAAATTTAGTAATAATTTTCAAATACTCTTCAGTGCTTATTTATGTATAGTAAGACAGTAATGCTATACATATACAGCGTGATTCAAAAAACCGCTGACAGACTGCTAGGGCAGGTACTACATCAAAAATTAAGATGAAAAGTCATAATATACATGGGGTCGCAAATGCCTCCTTAACGAGATATAGCGGGTCAACGTTTCTTTAAAATGACACATTATCTGCAAAAAAAGCCCTTTTTTAAAAATATTTTCAACGCCACTGCTAATTTTGTCAAACGGGCAGTATTTTCGTGTAAAGTGATCAATTATCTATCAATTAGTCTCTTACGAAACTTTGATTAAAGCAACAGTTTTTGATTGAATTAACAAATTTTCTACAAACATGTTTGTCTTAAAAACTATTGCTTTGATCGAAGTTTTGTAAGAGACCTATCGATAGATAATTGATCACTTTACACGAAAATACTGCCCGTTTGACAAAATTAGCAATGGCGTTGACAATATTTTTAAAGAAAGGCTTTTTATTGTAGATAATGTTTAATTTTAAAGAAACTTTGACCCGCTATATATCGTTAATGAGGCATTTGCGACTCGATGTATATTACGACTGTTCATCTTAATTTTTCTTGTATTACCTACTCCAGAAGTCTGTCAGCGGTTTTTTAAATGTATGTATATTTTAGCTCATTTAACTTTATCGTCAACTTTTTGGTTCAATCAAGTAATGCTTTGCTGGTTGTTTGTAGTTTTCCAGTGGATCACTCCTCATCTTTTTTCACTGCAACTTGTAATAATACACTATCTTGAGGCATTTCCGCTATTATCTAATTTAAATCTTCCTAAGCAGCTTCTACAATCATCTTTGGCGAGATAGAATTTTACCCTGGGTTATTCTGCAAGATTTTGACCTACACAGCAATTCTGCATTGATAACTTGTAGAATGATATTACTTTGTGGTACTAGTACCGGTCACAATATGTTGTGCCTCAGGTTGATATAATGTTAATCACGGAGATCTACAAAAGATCTACAATACAGAAGCGTATGATGATCTGTTTGAGGTTGATATAATCTTAATCATTGAGCCTTGGACGCAAACAACCTCGGCTTAATTAGTTAATAGATCTTTAACTGTGGGTAATAAAGCCGAGACTAAATTAAATTTCGGTTTAAACAGGTAATACTTTCTCTAGAAGTACTCGCGGTATTGCACTATTCCGTCAACAATTTCTATGACTATGTCATAGATATTATGACAAAAAAAGCTGAAAAAAAGAAAACAAGGAAATAAAAAGGTCCGGCAAGGAGCTATTACGTTTCTGAAACTGTTATACATAAGCGAGGTGGGGGGAATAATGATTTCGGAATGGCTGATGTCCACTCGTTGTTAGATGCCATGTCAGTTGACATGAAACGGTGGTCGATTGAACAACGCGTCTTTGTTTACGACACCTTTGTTGCAACCGGTCATTCAATAGAGTAAACACAGCACTCACTTCAATGTTGGTCCCTTCTCGCCCTACAATATTGAAATGGTTGGCAACACTAGCTCGAAAGGCACTGTGACAGAACTCGGGGAGGTAATCGAACTATTAAAACGCCAGAAAACATCCAAAAAGGCTATAAGAGGAGGTACCGTTCAGCAACACAACATATTCACGCTTTGCGCATGTCACATTTTTGATGCCTGAATTGAGAAGACATTGGATTGACCTCAATAGGATTTGGTTTCAACAGGGTGAGAACTACTTGCCCTAACTCAAGACTTTACGTCTTTATTTCTTGTTCTGCAAGGATTTCAGAAGCTTACAAAACATCACCTGGTGAAAACACAGGCCAAATTCCAGAATCACACAGAAGACATTCTCTGTAATTCCTACATTGGCCGTTGGCATATGGTAATGCTTCATTTAATAGCGATAATATACTTTGTTATCCTTGTTATCCATGCAGTTGACATGCATGTGGAAATGTTTCAGCCCAATTTCAAGATTTATCACTTATTATGACTCCTACCTGATGTTACTTCTTATCCACATTAAATATCATCCATCATCCTCCATCAATCATCTTTGGCGAGATAGAATTTTACCCTGGGTTATTCTGCAAGATTTTGACCTACACAGCAATTCTGCATTGATAACTTGTAGAATGATATTACTTTGTGGTACTAGTACCGGTCACAATATGTTGTGCCTCAGGTTGATATAATGTTAATCACGGAGATCTACAATACAGAGGCGTATGATGATCTGTTTGAGGTTGATATAATCTTAATCATTGAGCCTTGGACGCAAACAACCTCGGCTTAATTAGTTAATAGATCTTTAACTGTGGGTAATAAAGCCGAGACTAAATTAAATTTCGGTTTAAACAGGTAATACTTTTTCTAGAAGTACTCGCGGTATTGCACTATTCCGTCAACAATTTTGGCTTTCAGAATGTGTTTTGATACAATGCCTGTATACCTAGTTAAACATTTTATGTTTTCGATGAACACTGCTGGTAGTCACTCAGCTGGCTTAACATATTTAACTTAACAGATAGTTATTGTTAGAATTACTTGATACAAAATATTACGCAATAGCAATATAGTGGTTTCAATTTAACCAATTTGGCATTTGACAGCTCTAACTATAAAGTTGATAAGTCCTCGACGGAAGTGACTCCATCTAGTGAGTATAAAAGAACTTACAAATGAATCTCTTACTATTCGCCAAAAATCATCTCCTAAATATTGGTAATTTTGAACAAATTTAACATCTAAACACAACAACTTTTATTTTGAATTAATTTGACGCTAACATAAATATTTAACAAAATTTTAATTAACCCAATCAGACAATTAGTACCTATTAATAATTAGAAAGTAAAATTTTTATTTTAAAAGGATAAGATGATAATTTTTAGTTTAATTACGATAAGAAAACATTAAATTAACCTTCAAAAACATGCCGTTTTGAAAGAAATAATTTTATGTACATTTTGGGGGGCCAACCCACCGTAGGAAGAACACCACGCCTCTTTCAGCCGCGTTATCCTTGCCCGCCTTCCAGGACCTACGGCCCCATTGGCTCAAATCGAAACCCCTCTTGATACGAAAGGCGTTGTTCTAAATCGACGTTATATAACGTTCTCGACGAAACCCGTACCAGTTTCAGACCGATTTTAGTACGTTTGCAAGCGTCATTTGTGTTATTATCGTTAAAAAAAATTTATTAATTCAATTATATCAAAAATTTAAACAAATTAATTGAAGTGTTTTAACGAAAGTAAAATAGTGAAAACAAAAAATAAATCTTTGTGAACATGTAAATATGGTTCATTTAGTTCGAGAGGAAAAGATTTTAATCAATAAAATGTCGCAAACGCCGCTGAAGTCGTTTAATATTAGTTCCATTTTACCTGAAACCGTTTTGGACGATGAAAATCATCATGTTGAAGAAGTTTCGGATGCCGAATCGGACGAATTGGATGTAACAGGAACTCCACCACCTTTAGATTGTACAAAGAAAGACGATGATAACGATAAAGATGAGAAAAATGAAAAGAAAAATGATAAACCACCTTATAGTTATAACGCGTTGATTATGATGGCGATTAGAAATAGTCCTGAAAAACGGTTAACGTTAAACGGTATTTACGAATACATCATGAAAAATTTTCCTTATTATCGTGACAATAAACAAGGTTGGCAAAATTCGATTCGACATAATCTAAGTTTAAATAAATGTTTCGTAAAAGTTCCTCGGCATTATGATGATCCGGGAAAAGGTAATTATTGGATGTTAGATCCGTCAGCGGAAGATGTTTTTATTGGTGGAACAACCGGAAAATTGCGTCGAAGATCAACAGCAGCTTCCAGATCGAGATTAGCCGCTTTTAAACGTTCGATGATTCTTGGAAGTTATCCGATGGTACCTTTCCCTGGAAGCACAAGTTATAACCCGTCGCTAATTGGAATGTACTCAAACCCGGCTTTATTAGCTTCGATGTATCAAAGGTATCCGTGTTTACCAATGATTCCAAAACCAACTCCGATTGCACCTCATCATTCATTCGGAATGGAAAGATTGTTACAACCGAGTGAAGGAATTTTAAGACCACCTCCGGGTTTTGATTTTTACGCGGGAGGATTGAGATTTCCGCCGGGTTTAATGATGGGACAAAATTTAGTGCAGAATTTAAGCGTGGCGCCCGCGTGTTCTACATCACCAGAAACGACGACAAGCAGAAGTGGCGAAGGACTTTTGAAACCGGTAACAGTTCTAACAAATAGACAGAGTTAGAAAGAAAATTTTGTTTCATGATTAAAAGTAGTTTTTTGTAAATATTGTAAATACCTAATTGAAAAAAACCTTGTAAATTATTTATATTATTTTAATTTAAATTAATTATTTAGCGATTATATCGTTAATGTAAATAAATGTACCGTTTTAAATTACAAAAACTAATAACGCCCTTTTAAACATAACATTATTAGTCATCAGTGTCGTTAAAAAGGCGAAACATTTTAAAATAAAAATATAAATTCGATTTAATAATTTAATTATTTTCAACCTAATCCATAAAAGCTTTCTCCTATATACTATTAATTTATAAATCAACCGACAATTTTATAATAATAATTATGTACATTACATTAATTTGATGAGCTGTCGATCCTAATAAACGATAAATTATACAGATATTACAAACAGAATTTCCATTTGTATTAATAGACAGTTTGGGTCAAGTTAACCGTATAAGAGATTGTAAACACCTGTCTCCATTGTATTTATACTTTTTGATACTTAAGACATTTAATTTTTCATCATTTACCAGATGTCGCTTTGAGTAAAAGAATGTAACTTTATAAAAAATCTGATTTTTGTCTTAAACGGAAATTTGAAAATATTAAATCGAAATGAATCGATTCCATTCACAAATATGTAAATAGTTCAAGGTGCTAAAAAGAATAGAATAATAACGACATAATCTCGGTGTCAATTAAAGAAATTCAATGCCTAACATACGGTTTAGATTAACTATTAACGGTTCATGTGAATAAGTTTCGCAACTAGTCCTTCTCGCGTTTTGTTTATGTCCAGGATATTTAAATGTAACAACGCCAATGGCCGAGAGATAATTGCATTAAAATTCACAATTTCCTATAAATATGTCAAAATAATGGTGTCGTGGCATGCAAATTGATAAAATCGATTTTCTTTTTATCCTCTTCATCTTATTGCTCTTTCTCCTTTTTTCCGTTTCTTCTTCTTCTTCTTCTTCTTGGCTCGGTCGTTGTCGTCTTTTTATTTATTTATTTCGGTCCTCGTTCAAGAAACTCGGGGCCCCGTCGGCATCCTTTGAGTGTCACTCATTGTTAAAGATATCTAATGGTACCCCAACGGCGACCATAAGAGGATCACCGCGCGGCCCCGAGAGCTCCGATCGTAGCTGTCGGTCCTCTTTGATTATGAATTAGTGCGGTGTTATACGATGCGACCGGGATGATGATGATGAAGAAAAAGTAGCTACAGCAACAGCAGCCGAGACCTAACAGGTGACCAATAAGGAAGTGTTATAATAAAATTTCGATTTTTACCTTTCATTTCAAATATAAATCGGTTATTAATTTGAAAAATAATTTTTAAATAAAAACATTCATAATAAAAACGGTTGAGACCTCATATAGCCAATCCCCAGGGATTTCTTTCTTTTGGTTACCTTTTGAAAGTGTCAACGCACCTCTTGGTCTTCTGATTCTCTGTTGATACATTCTTCACGTGGAGCGGAATGTTTACCCACGGACTATGTCATAGATATTATGACAAAAAAAGCTGAAAAAAAGAAAACAAGGAAATAAAAAGGTCCGGCAAGGAGCTATTACGTTTCTGAAACTGTTATACATAACCGAGGTGGGGGGAATAATGATTTCGGAATGGCTGATGTCCACTCGTTGTTAGATGCCATGTCAGTTGACATGAAACGGTGGTCGATTGAACAACGCGTCTTTGTTTACGACACCTTTGTTGCAACCGGTCATTCAATAGAGTAAACACAGCACTCACTTCAATGTTGGTCCCTTCTCGCCCTACAATATTGAAATGGTTGGCAACACTAGCTCGAAAGGCACTGTGACAGAACTCGGGGAGGTAATCGAACTATTAAAACGCCAGAAAACATCCAAAAAGGCTATAAGAGGAGGTACCGTTCAGCAACACAACATATTCACGCTTTGCGCATGTCACATTTTTGATGCCTGAATTGAGAAGACATTGGATTGACCTCAATAGGATTTGGTTTCAACAGGGTGAGAACTACTTGCCCTAACTCAAGACTTTACGTCTTTATTTCTTGTTCTGCAAAGATTTCAGAAGCTTACAAAACATCACCTGGTGAAAACACAGGCCAAATTCCAGAATCACACAGAAGACATTCTCTGTAATTCCTACATTGGCCGTTGGCATATGGTAATGCTTCATTTACAGTATTGTTAAATACCCGGGTATTTATTTTCAAGGGAAAATTCCCTGGATATATACCCTGGGGTATTTACCCAAGATGGGTATTTAGAGGTATTCGTAAAATTTTATTTAAATTGAGTTGATGGCAGTTTTGCAAGTACTTCAAGAATACAGAGTCCATTATCGATACACCAAACTTATTTATAACATTTACAAGAATGCTACAATGAGCGTGGGGTAAGACAAGGCAATATAATGTTGAACCCAAATTGTTTATCACAGTCCTCAAGAGTGCATTTAAATAACTGGATTGGATTCAAAACGGTATAAAAATTGATGGATTTCGGATATCCTTGGAGAGATGAGACTGGTTCTGAACGTATACAGGAGGTGTGTGCAAGAGTTGGGCTAAATATCAACAAAATTTAGGACAAATCTTGTTCCAAGCTGTAACATCAATATTGGTGATAATGAATATTCCATCTAGAATACTTTCGATGGTATGTTATTAATCTCTGATGCCTAATACTAATACTCTAATACTCTTCGAAAATATTTAACGATTTCTTTAATGCTTGAAAAACAACTTTGAATGTCCTGAATTGAGTATAAGTCTAATATTAATGACTAAATTCAGTTTTTATGCTTCATCAATTCCTGTTGTTTGATTCTTTTCTAGTCATATTGCACTTCCATCAAATCCAAGATTCCAAGATCCATGAGATTGTTGATTTCCAATTGAAAATTAAGTAGTTCGTTTAAGATCTTATTATTTTTCTTCTTTTATTCAGGTTGTAACCTGTTTACGCATCATTCATGGTGTTTCATTAGAGCTGGAAATCCAACTTCCTGGTCTCCCGGGATCTCTTTCTAGCTAATCTTTGGNGTCTTCTGATTCTCTGTTGATACATTCTTCACGTGGAGCGGAATGTTTACCCACGGACTATGTCATAGATATTATGACAAAAAAAGCTGAAAAAAAGAAAACAAGGAAATAAAAAGGTCCGGCAAGGAGCTATTACGTTTCTGAAACTGTTATACATAACCGAGGTGGGGGGAATAATGATTTCGGAATGGCTGATGTCCACTCGTTGTTAGATGCCATGTCAGTTGACATGAAACGGTGGTCGATTGAACAACGTCATTCAATAGAGTAAACACAGCGAAGATTTTTAACTCACTTCAATGTTGGTCCCTTCTCGCCCTACAATATTGAAATGGTTGGCAACACTAGCTCGAAAAGCACTGTGACAGAACTCCGGGAGATAATCGAACTATTCATCCAAAACATCCAAAAAGGCTATAAGAGGAGGTACCGTTCAGCAACACAACATATTCACGCTTTGCGCATGTCACATTTTTGATGCCTGAATTGAGAAGACATTGGATTGACCTCAATAGGATTTGGTTTCAACAGGGTGAGAACTACTTGCCCTAACTCAAGACTTTACGTCTTTATTTCTTGTTCTGCAAGGATTTCAGAAGCTTACAAAACATCACCTGGTGAAAACACAGGCCAAATTCCAGAATCACACAGAAGACATTCTCTGTAATTCCTACATTGGCCGTTGGCATATGGTAATGCTTCATTTAATAGCGATAATATACTTTGTTATCCTTGTTATCCATGCAGTTGACATGCATGTGGAAATGTTTCAGCCCAATTTCAAGATTTATCACTTATTATGACTCCTACCTGATGTTACTTCTTATCCACATTAAATATCACCCATCATCCTCCGTCAGTCATTAAATAATTTTCAATGCTGAAAATAGGTTTTCCTCAGTTTAGTTCCTGAATTCGTCCTCTTATTCATTCTCGGTCTCCACTCGAGCTGGATAAAGAGGCTTATCGAGAGATTTAGAAAACAATATTATTATTCAATTTAACATTATTAAATTAGCAACATATTTAATTCTTGTTGTCTTGATTGAAAAAAATGTTACTGGATGATTCATTTTAGTTGGTTTAATAATATTCTTTTCGTTTTTGATTCGGTCCCTCCTCTTTAGATGCCGAGCGTGGAAGTTCATGAATATATTATAAGATTTCCGAAGAAACCTAAACTTTTAACCTGTCTGATCAGAAAGCGCGGCATCGTATTTTCCAAAGTTAATACGCGCCGTGACAAATTTAACGGCGCCGTGTTTCCCAAACAAAATTTCGCCGTTAATAAACATGTTCCCGCGGGACCGTAAAGGTCACAATAAACGATGGGCCGTAAGTTTTCGTCTTAATACACAACCTAATGAGATCTGTTGACGAGAGGAGAGATAATTACCTCAAGACTCGCCTCCGCTTTCGAAAAAACTATCTACCTCTTTCACCTGCTGTCCAATTAAACGACGCGAATAGTTTTTTTTATTTCATTTTGGTGATTTTATTTATTATTAGGAGTCTCTTTTTTTTCGTTATTAATTTTAGTAAAAGACTGGAAGCATAAATTTGTTTGCAGCGAACATTTTATGGCCCGCATCGCATGCGAACTCTACGAATGAAGTCTTATTAACATATTTTGTGATTACAAAATAAGCTTTTAGAGAATAAACTCATTGTTGACTTGAACACGTTGATAATGTTGATATATTTAAATAATTAACTGTATGGGAAGAGAAACGATTCGAATTTTCTGTGCAAATTCCTTCAAGGAATTTGTGCTCCTTATAAATACCATATCTGCTTAAAAATGCGATTAAATACAAGCGAGCGAAGTATTATAGCAGCACGATTCGAGTACAAAATACATCACAAGAGGTCGTTATTTGTGGAACGCAGTCGCTATCTCGCATAACTTGGTATGAAAAATAATATCAAATTACTTATTAATATATGAAAACGAATGAATTCGAGTTCATTAAATTATTGTGTTAGATTGAAATTGCGTGGTGGTAAAA